CACCTGTGTCACTGAGCTCTGTGCACACTCACCTGTGCTGTCACCTGGACAGAGGCAGGGCAGGATCCCTCTGGCAGGTTTGGACTCTTTCTGAGTTCCCAATCTCAGGATGTGGATGCTCACTGGTGGGGCTGGTGCTGGAGTTCTAAATAACCTGTGCTTTGTTTCTTACAAACAAACAAAAAACCCATTAGTTTTAGAAGAGAGATTTATAATAACTTAGCTCCTATCCAGTTTTTGTACTTCTGACCCCAGTGACAGGAGGAAGTAATATGAAATTTTGTCATGACTACTGTTCATTTGCTGACTGATTTCACTACAAATACACATCTGCAGGGTAGTTCTTTTATTTTCTGTGTGTTAATTAAGTTCATTAGTTCATTTGCTTTACATTCCTGCTGAGTTTTCTCTGCATGGATGTGATGTGATGTGATGATAAAAAAGCAAGGTTATTTCTTTCTGCTAGAATCAAAGCTGGTGCACAGTTGATGCACCAGAATTACCAGATTTTATTTTTCTGATTGTTGCAGTTTTACTTCCTGGATAAGATAGGAGAGATTCAAGTGCCAATGTAAGATCATTGACCTTATTTCAGTTTTATGCCCAAAGACTAGAAGAGGATTAATCAAAGAGTTTTTAGGAAAAGATTAGTTTCTTTTAAGAATACTCTTAAAGTTAATTTAGTGGGATAAAAAAGGAATATTGGTGTAAGGCTGTTTTTCATTATTCATTTTTCTAAGATCTGTAACATATGGCTGAGCCTTAAGGAAAAGGTTTACAAAACTATACCAGAGTTAGGTACCTGTCTGCCAGATTTTGCTGTCTGTTAACTCCAAATTGTATTTTGTGTCCTTGAAAAATCACATCCTTACTCTCAGACTATGTGTGTTGGCTACAAAAAAAGTCTTGTGAAATCAGCAGATGGAGAGTTAAGGGATTTCCAGTGGTTTACACATGTGAGCAATGCACTTTTTTATTCATATTTTGAAAATCTGCAAAAAGTAAGACTTCAGATGTTTAGGAGAAAGCACAAATAATAAAAGAGGGCTGAGGAACAAAATTAGTCCAGTTCGTGTGGTTTACAGCTTCTGGGCCTAATCCTCCAACTGTTAATATGACTCAATAGTTTATTGTTTAAGGAGAGCTGCCTGACTTCTTCTAGTTTTGCAATTTAGCTGTTAGATATGGAGCTTAAATATAGATATAAAATCATAACATAAATTGATGCTACTTTAAAAAAAATCTGACTTAAATGTTTATTTAGTATAATGATACCAAGCAGAAGTTTATAAAG